ATTCAAGTTCTTGATGATTCCACTGATCAAACGATCAAAGTACGCTCCTTTTCCCAAAGATAACTAAAATTGGGGTCTGAAATCCAACGCAATTCTCCTAAAATCCCGCTTCCACAGATTCCAAAAAACTTCTAATTATGTCAAAAGATATCCGATTTTGCACGGGTCCTCGATTTCAGTAAATGGATCGAACTAAAAAAAACCAAAACTTTCAATACGGCGTCTCGATTTTAGCAAAAAAATCCGATTTTTCGTAATGGGTTCTCGATTATTGCAAAACGGGTCTAACCAAAGATCCGATTTCACGACACGACATGGGTTCTTCAATTAATGTTGTTGTTGTTGTGGCAGGATCTAGTGGAGATGGAGTGTAGCAGATGGGCGAGTAAGGGAGTAAACATAAAGTATGAGATCAGAGACAACAGAAACGGTTACAAAGCTGGAGCTTTGAAAGAAGGAATGAAGAAGAGTTATGTCAAAAGCTGCGATTACGTCGCAATCTTCGACGCCGATTTTCAGCCTGAATCGGATTTTCTCTGGAAAACCGTACCGTTTCTCCTCCATAACCCAAAGCTTGCTCTCGTTCAAGCTCGCTGGAAATTCGGTAATTTTCTCCCTATTTTATTTCATCAGAAGTTTTAATCTTTCTTTCTATTCCGAGATACATAGTTTTGATTTGATCTTTTAGGACCACCTTTTTTTCTGTCACATGATTGATAAGTGCTAATCAGGTAATCACTGCTTAGTTAGAAAGTTAGACACGGGTTTTAGATTTGTTTTATCTCAATTACTAGTCCCTTTCTTTTTTGACGTAATTACTAGTCCCTTTTTAGGCTATGTACTCTAAAATGTACAAGCGATTGCAATTAATTATACCCAAAATCGGATAGTTATAATAATTACAGAATCATTTGATTAATGCACAATAGTTCATTAGATATATTTATGTTGTATGTGTGTGTTAATAATGTTTTTTCTTTTTGTTTTTATTGAAATGATGACTTTTTAATGGGAGGGTAGAGATGGGTCAACTTATATTTAAATCCTATAATTAAATTTAACTGCAAGTGAAAAATTAGAACCTAGGAACGTATTATAAAACACCATCAAATAATAACATGTGATATGATGATTGTATGAAATCCAATAAAAAATAAAGGAGATATGATCATTTTATTAAGAGATCCTACTTTATAGGAATTTATCAATTATGGGGTTTTAATAACTTCATATAAATATGTTTACAAAAAGAAGAAGTTTTAGTTACATTAACAAACAGAAGTGTCGGTGGGTGTTTTATTGTTAGGTCCCAGTGTAACCTACTCAGCGGATCTTGATGTTGACGTATCGATTTTGTTCGTGATTACTTTGTGGTTTGTGCTCTAGCTTTAAAATGTGGAACTACTTTCCTCAACTATAAACTACAAATACTTTTTAGCACCAAAAAAAAAGAAGTTTATTAGTATATGAATATTAATATTAAAGGATCTAGGAGGCATATAATCTAGGCAATATGAAATATCCCTTCTAACTAAGCCCATATTTAATAGGAATAAAAAATCTGGAAAAATCTAAGAAACCATAACAAAAATGAAATTAAATACTTTAATGTTTTTGTCTTTTGTATTTGGTATGTCTGTAGGAGTTAGTAAAAAACTGGTTTTGGTGTTTGGCTTTTAGTTGAAAAATATGCATCTTTCCACCCATTTCAACAGAGTAATGTTTTTCCAAATTTGTTTACTTTAGTCAATAGATTGTCTACCAATGTACCTATAACTTCTGGCACTCAAAAAGCTGCACGAAGTCAGTATTTTACTACTTGGCCTCCAGTATGTGGCTTCTATAACCATAGCACTTTAACTTTTTCCACAACCCCAAAATTAAATACACAATTTTCGTAGTATTGTTTTCGAATTAGCAACAAAAATAATTAATCAAAATAGTTAGTTCAGAAAACCAAAATAAATATTTAAAATGTGTTTTTATGATCAAATTAGAGTAGAGTTTAGTGGTGTTGCTTCACTGGCATCGTCGTCGTCGTGTCCCATAATGAGTGCAGAGGAACATATTGGGAAGCGTAGGCCCCTAGGGTATGTTTTGTCATTTAGTCAAAATAGTATGGGTAGATTAGTCATTTTCTTCAGTAGATCCAACACGTGTACTTGCCAGCACCCTCCATCTTCCATGTGCAACTACGTGGGACCCTGATTGTCTCTTCTCTACTAGTCTCTCTCACTCTCACTCTCACCACTCACTTTTCTTTTTTAAGTAATTTTGTTTTTGTTTCTTTTTTTGCCACAAACAAAATGAAGTAATTTCTGTGTCTGTTTTTAATTTCAATGCTAATAATTGAATCTTTTATTTTATTAATCATACTTTTAGACAAGAAAAACTATAGAGAGCATGTGAACTAAAATGATAAAATATAGCGAGCTGTTGAAATCTAATTGGGGTGGTCTGAGCTTCTATAGTTTCAATTTCATAACTGTTTGGTTTCAATGTCACCAACTGGTTTTTAATGTCTTCATCAATGCCACATTAATTGTTTACTATGCAAATAATTAGATTCCATTATTAAACTCTGATCTAATTTTTTATATTTAATGTGCAGTAAATTCGGATGAATGTTTGATGACAAGGATGCAAGAAATGTCTTTGGATTATCATTTTACGGTAGAACAAGAAGTTGGATCTTCTACTTACGCCTTCTTCGGATTCAACGGTACTTTTTTTTTTACATAATTGATTTTCTTGTTGCCTCATTACAATTTCTAACCGTTTATTTCATAATTTATGCTTACGATAATTTTAGGGACGGCGGGAATATGGAGGATATCGGCATTAAACGAAGCTGGTGGTTGGAAAGATAGAACGACCGTGGAAGACATGGATTTGGCTGTTCGAGCTAGTCTCAAGGGCTGGAAATTTTTGTACCTCGGTTCTTTGAAGGTATATAGTTTAACAATGTGTTTATCTAAATTAATGGTTGATACGTAAATAGGTTAATTAATATAAATTTAAAATGTATAGGTTAAAAACGAGTTGCCAAGTACATTCAAAGCATATAGGTATCAACAGCACAGGTGGTCATGTGGTCCAGCAAATCTTTTCAGGAAAATGGCATTCGAAATCATGACTAATAAGGTTTTTAACTCTTTCTCCCCTCGAAGCAGATTAAACCGGTCAATTCGGTTAGTTAACCGGAGCTTAAATGCCATCTCTGGTTCACAAGCTTTTTTTTTAACTACTAAACACATCGAGCCTAAAACGTAACGTGACGTTTCTAAAGTTTTGTACACTTGATTGGTCTCTTCGGTTATTTCATATTCCGGTTACAATTAAACCGGAAATTTTCTTCCCTTTCTTTTTGGCAGAACGTGACTCTATGGAAGAAAGTTCATGTGATATATAGCTTCTTCGTGGTGAGAAAGCTCGTGGCACACATTGTTACCTTTATCTTCTATTGTGTGATCTTACCGGCCACGGTTCTTGTACCGGAAGTTTCCGTACCGAAATGGGGAGCGGTTTACATTCCTTCGGTTATTACTCTGCTCAATGCCGTCGGTACACCGAGGTAAACAAATATTCCAAGAGTTACTTGCGGTTCAAGGGACGTCATGTTTGGCCCCTCATTGTTTGGTTACATGCGTCTTATAATAGGTCACTGCATCTTATGGTGTTTTGGATTCTGTTCGAGAACGTGATGTCTCTTCACAGAACAAAAGCTACCTTCATCGGTTTACTCGAAGGCGGAAGAGTTAACGAGTGGATTGTTACTGAGAAGCTCGGAGATCTTAAGGCTAAATCAGCCACCAAGACTCCCAAGAAGCTTCGTTTTAGATTTGGAGATAGGTAAAAAAATTTCTTCCTTTAAACCAAACCAGTTCTTTTGGTCTGTCTTCAACCGTACCAAACGAATTCTAATACCCATTTTTTTGTGTGTGTTTTGGCAGAATTCATGTGTTGGAACTCGGCGTAGGAATGTATCTGTTCTTTGTGGGATGTTATGACGCATTTTTTGGGAAGAATCATTATTATCTTTACCTTTTCGCACAAGCAATCGCGTTCTTCATCGCGGGATTTGGGCAAATTGGGACATTTGTGCCTAACTCTTGAAGGGAAAAACGAGTTTTCGAGTGATGAAGTGCTCGAGAATAAAAAGATTATTTCTTTTCTTTTCCTTTTTGGCTTCTCTATTTAAATTCTTGTTGGTGTGAATAGAGAGAATTCATGATACGGTTGTTACAGAAGATGGTTTGTGTAGTGTGGAAGAAATGGATACTTGTAGTAAAGAAAAAATATATTTGAAGGGATTTTTCAGATTCCTCAAAGGCAATTGATTGTTGACTTATCGTAAGACGAAGAATCTTTTTGAATCCAATTTCTTTGTGTTGAAATTATCGCATTGTACAAAAATGGATGTACAGGATGACAGGCTGAGAATATACACACACACAAAAAAAAAATCGAAAGCATTGTAATATTTATTTCGCATAGTCTAGAGGAATTTGATATTAGTCTAAAATCAAAAAGATATAACTAAACTGTTATATTCAAAATAAATTTCAATGTACATAAGACTTAATGTCACAATGATATATATACTAATCTAACATTTTTGGATTTAAATCGCTCGGTCGAACATGTATAGATTTACAGACGAACATAAAGGTTGAAAAAAGAAAAAAAATCTTAAATGCAGGCTGTGGGGTTCGAACCCACGCGCACTTATGTGCAGAAGAACTTAAGTCTTCCCCCTTAACCACTCGGGCAAACCTGCTTGTAGACAATATCGTTCGTTAATCGTTTAAATAATAAGATCAAATTACAATGTACAAATAGTTTTAATAATTTATCCTTTTTCTGGGCCCATTTGGTAACTAAGTTTCCTTTTTCTGGGCCCATTTGGTAACTAAGTTACATTAATTCCCGTTTATAATGGGTAACAACGATTGATCGACGAGGTGCTAACTTAAATCTCGAATACATTGTTTCGGCCGAAGAATCTCAAATGAGGTTTTCACTAGAAAGGCCTCCAAAAGACTTGATAGAATAATATCCATATATCCATATTAGAACTAAACACAAAAGGTTTAGCAAAGTTTCATCTACCCATGGAGATTAAGAAAAACAAGGATTAAACGCCTGGAAAAAAAGAGAGACAACTAAACTGGTTCACTCGCAAATTATAGTTTCCAAAACCAAAAGACATCAAAAGTCTAAAGAGGATAACGGAGAGTCTCTTCTTTCTTCTTTCTTCATCTGATTTCAAGCAGCAGCACTGTGTTTGGCCTTTGTGTGAGACTGCAATCCCATCTCCGAGGTAAAAGTTCTGTTGCACGACTTGCACCCAAACGCACCTGCAGATTTCGGTGTCTGCTGCTGCTTCGACGACTCTCCATTGCTTCCAGAGTTCTTCCCTGCCTGTTTTGATGGATGCGGAGTTGCAATGTGGACGTGCGGTTTCTTCGTCTCTGTTATCACAATGTTTAGATTCATAAATCAAGCCATCTATTTCCCCTTGTGAAGATTGATTAGAGTCACCTGTTTTCTGTGGAGTCACGAATTTAGCCTTCTTGCTCGAAGGAGTCTTTGAGGTGTTGGCTTCTGCAGACCTCTTCTTGGATTCTTCAGCCTTTTTTTTATAAAACAAAAAAAGTCGAATCAGGTTTAAATTTGATCATGGAAAAAGCAAAATTATATCAATCCTTAAAGAAGGGTAACAAGGCAGAGAACATATATACGTTTGCTATTACCGAGCACTTATGAAGAGAATATCATGTACCTTCTCTGATGTGTCATGGTCTGATGAGTCATCTTCATCATCGTCTGATGAGTCATCGTCATCATCGTCTGATGAGTCAACTTCAGCACTAACCTTCTTTTCCTGAAACAAAGTAACGATGATCTGGATTTCAGAATTATGAGATTGGCGTAAAACACAATAGGCACTCAGGGTTCATGTGAAAAATGAAAATATAAAAGTGACGAACTGGAGGCACCATATCTTAGTTCTCGAACAATACCAATTTTTTCAATAAGAGTAAACACAAAGGCTATTAATAGTGTTATCATAGAAACTTATGATAACTCTAGGACCAGTGTTTACAAGTTTAGCGTGTCACCAAGCATATTGAGCCATTAGTATATAGAAAAAATACCTCTTCATCTCCATTGTCTTCAGAAGAAGCATCATCATCTGAATCATCTTCAGATTCTTCATCACTATCTTCTTCATCTTCGTTAGCCTTGACATCTTCATTAGGCAGCTGAAAATTCACCTGTTTTGCACCTGATTTCGCAACAGCTGGCTCTGCAAAGGCCCCATCATTTAGAAAAGATTAACGATCGTTACTAAATAAACTAAAAGCAGATAATGGAGGCCAACCATAGCAGGCCTAGATAAAAAGCCACACTCACCTGTAGCAGCCGCAAGCACATCGTCGGTCATATCATCAGCCTCAGTGAGACAGGACAAGAGGGTCAAGGAGGTCAAAACAGAACGATATAACAATTCCCAAATCAGATTGGTCAACAAGGTTGTAGGGTTTAGCGATAGCAACAAATGTTTTCATAGTGAAGGATATGGATCAGATGCGTCAACAGTGTAGCCAGAGAAGAAAACACTCCCATCCTTCCAACTATGAGACAGCTCAAAACGCTTTTCCAACACAATCTCCGTGCTCAGCTGAGGAATCTTCTCATGTGATAGCGTCCCAATGATTAGCTTTTGATCTCCACATTTCAGGTAAAGCCGGACTGGCTCGTTTCCATTGTTCTTCTTCTCGCCCAGAGCAGCCTTCAATAAGACAAAACTTCCATGTAAACGCGTGGTTTAAATCACAAAAATCAATATTGCGATTCAAAAAAAAGGCTGTACCAGTGAGATGTGCACAATGTCACTTCCAGGATCCACCGAAAGTGACGAGCCACTTTTAACTTCAACACCTGGAAACGCAGAATTGTACATCAGAAAAAAAAAAATCAACAAGTCTGCCAGAAAACCATCATTTCAAACATTCAATAAGTAAAAGTTGCATGAGAATCGATCAAGTGTCCCAAACATGGAACCTCTACTATTTTACTTTTTCGTTTCCAGCCACCAAACTAAAATATCAGAGTTAAAACCTAGAGAGAAAAACTTTCTAGTTGTCCCCAATTTTCTAGGAAACCGTACAGTATACACACACTAAATGTGTCAAACAAACTGACTAGTTGCAACGAAAATCTAACTCGTTTAACCAGACGATTCCAGAGAAGATACGGTAGAACAAGATGGAAAACCAAAAAAAAACAAAAAAGGTGAAACCAGAAGATTAAAGCCCTAAGCACAGAACGCAGAAAAGAAAGAAGAAGACGAAGTAAGTCACGAAATCGTTTACCCCAGAACTCCATTGACACGAGTGGTAGCGACCTGAAGGCGACGATGCGTAGAAAAAGAACGTTCTAGAAGAAGATGAGAGCGATTCGTCTCTCGAGAGCTTTTTAGGGCGTGAAATGAAGGGAAAACGCCGAAAACGTCGATGGATTTAATAGTCGGAAAACGAAGGGATTAAGTGATCCTCAGTTAGGCGGACCACTGCTCCTTTATTGGGCCTAATTTTTAAAATGACCCAAACAAAACTACCCATATAAAGCCCATGTATTATATAACACTTTTAACGGATTTTTATTACGATGTCAAGACGGATTGTAACAGACTTGTGACGCTTTATTAGACGTGGCGGTAACGGAGATTTCTGGTTTATCCGTTTGGTCAGGCGTTTTCGTCAAAATGTACGGACCGCTCATGTCAATCTTCTTTCTTCAAATTAAGTCCCACGGACAAATGGATTTATTTATTTTTCAGTAGTATCCCAAATTTGTAATGTGTATCTGGCTTTTCCAAGAGGTCAAGACTTCAAATCTGTATTTTATATTTTTCTATAAACAAGGTATCCCAAATTTTCCCTTAAATATTGCCTGGCGACTTGATGATTTTGAGCAGCCGCCATAATTTTTTAGAAGATGCCAAAGCTTGATAAATACTAAAAAAAAGAGAGAAGAAGTAACTTGCTGGAAATATCTACGAGGCGATGGCTAAGAAACTAACTTAATGACAAAAATGCGTAGAGTGCATGAACCTAGCAGTATTCGATGAACCAAAGTGCTATTGATTGATATAAATATTGCAATATTTTTATAAGCTTATTTATTTAATGTCCGACGCTCAACTTGCGTTGATAACTTTATACATAAATTAATGACAGCTCATTTACCATCCGGAATAATCTGATAACTTGATCACTGCTAACTTAGTTATATTAGGATTTATTTTAACAGATTTTATAAGTAATCTAAGATTTTTTAATTCTATGTATTAAGTAGATGTACAATCCATATCAGTTATCATATCATATAATTTAAGTTAGGCCCAAATGTATGTTTATCTAGCTGCTAGCCAGAATTCACAATTTTACTTATCGTAATTTTTAAAATAAAATAATTAGTGTATTGTCCATATTTAAAGCTCACTACTAGAGTGTTTGCTGTTGTTGTCGTGGCAGTTCAAACATACTCCACGATATCAGATATATGAAGTTTTTTTTTTTACTCAATATCAGATATATGAGGTTCCGATATATTAAGACGGCAAATTTTTACGAAACATATATAATGAGTGTTTATTAATTATAACGAAACAACAAAAATCGATGAGAAAAGGATAAATAAACAAAGAAAACATGAAATGGAAAAGCAACAAAAAAATAATTAAAGCTAAACACGAATAGTTTTTTTTTGAATGAGATAGACACGAACAGTTGGAGAAGTGAAAGATATAATTGGTTGAAAAATCCTTGCTCGTAAAATATCGTCTAATTAATAATACTGTATATCTGGATTCTGAAATGGGGAAAACCTTTTTGTTGTTTGTCAACATAATTAAGGAAACGAACAAAAAAAAGTTTCCATGAGAGAAGATGCATGCATATAGTAGCAGTCACACGCAGAATTACGAATGTTTGAATAGACAAAGGAATATAAAGACATCAGAGGCTAAGAGCCCATCCTCTTTTGCATAGACGAATATATCCCCTTCGATCTCAATGTTTAGCCCTTTCCTTTCACCTACCATCATTTTCCAATTTTTGTTTTTTCTTTCTAAAACACCATATCAGTATCAATGTATCCTTTTTTTTTTGTTTGCTAAAAATATCAGGCTCATAAATTGTGACTCATAAAATAGCTTTTTGTTTTGTTTTGTTTTATCAACATGTATTTTATGCGAGTTTAAATGGGTAGTAATATATCAAAATTAGCACACTCACTCGGATCCAATGTTTTCAACTGGGATTGGCCTAAGAAATATAGTATAACCAAGATGCTGGAGATATGTAATATAAATCCTCTTAAATCCTTGGGTAGAAAATATTTGGAATTTATGGACAACATGGTTGTGTCTTTTACACGTATGCATGTTCCTCTTTTAGTTTGTTTCCTCTTTGAATACGATTACTACTTAGGTTTACTTTATTCGTTTCTTACAATTGTGTCGCAAACCACCAGGAAAACTAATACCAAATTATTTGTTTAATTAGAAGATTACTTTATATTTGTCTGCAACAAAGAAGGTCACATTTTTTTTTAATGAAAAGGAGATCACATTAACTAAGCAAAGACGATTAGTTTTGAAAAAAAAAAACGGATAATTATATAGTATATACAAATTGTCATAAACTAACAATGCTCGATGAACAAAAAGTAAAATTCAATTCAGTTTTTGTTTAGCAAATGTTAAAGTTCCCCAAAAAAGAGGGACATAAGAGGAATATCACGAAATTATCAACAGAAACGCACCGAGTTCACAGTTTCCTCTGATAAACCAAAAAATTCCAAAATCCATCAGAGAGAGAGACTTTTAAAAAGGGAAAAAAATGGAAATCTAGAGAAAGAGAAACAAGTGGCTAGCTCGCCGAACTTCTTCAACAATGGCGGTTTCCTAGGGTTTGAGGTTATATTGATCGGAAAGTGTCTCATCTAGATCGCGAAACTTCCATGGAAATGCCCGGTAGAAGATCCAATTACACTCTGCTTAGTCAATTTTCGGATGATCAGGTGTCGGTCTCCGTCACCGGAGCTCCTCCGCCTCACTATGACTCCTTGTCGAGCGAGAACAGGAGCGCGAGCAACAATAACAGCGGGAACAACGGGAAAACCAAGGCGGATAGAGGCGGATTCGATTGGGATCCTAGCGGTGGCGATCACAGGTTGACTGGTCAGCCGAATCGGGCTGGGAATATGTATTCCTCGTCGCTTGGATTGCAGAGGCAATCGAGCGGGAGCAGTTTCGGTGAAAGCTCCTTGTCCGGGGATTACTACATGCCTACGCTTTCTGCGGCGGCTAACGAGATCGAATCGGTTGGATTTCCTCAAGATGACGGGTTTAGGCTCGGGTTCGGCGCTGGTGGAGGAGATTTAAGGATACAGATGGCGGCGGACTCGGCCGGAGGTTCGTCATCTGGGAAGAGCTGGGCGCAGCAGACGGAAGAGAGTTACCAGCTGCAGCTTGCATTGGCGTTGCGGCTTTCGTCGGAGGCTACTTGCGCTGACGATCCAAACTTTCTGGATCCCGTGCCCGACGAGTCTGCTTTGAGGACTTCGCCAAGTTCAGCCGAAACCGTTTCACATCGCTTCTGGGTACTGGTTTAATTGCCTTTTGTTCGTTCCTCTTTAGCTTTGTCTCTCAAAATTCTTAAACCTTGGTTTATGAGTGTGGATTTTAACTGCCGAGTACTTTTGTTTGGGATTCCGAACTACCGTCGGGGTTTATTGAAAGCTTTGAACTTGTTTTAGAGATATGATTTTCTTGGTTCCAAGTTTCTGCTAGATCTACTAACCAACCCTTGAAAGATCCAAGGGTATAGAACAGAGATCTGGGACTGTTAGAATTCTTTAGTTTTAGATGTTATTGCATAGTGGGTGTTAATGCTATCGCATGCCTCAGGAATGGTTGAAAGGTTTAGAGGTTGAGATTGTCAAAATGTCTGCTTGGGTGAGTTGCCTGGACGGGTCTCTATGCAACAAGTAATGGACTGTGTCGTGAAATACTTATTGCCACCTGTGTTGGACATTAGATCTAATTTGCTGCTCTCCGTTACTTGGAGCTTCGTAGAACGCTCGTAAAGGAAAAACAAAGTATGACGAATGAGGAAAGGAACAAAGTATATTAGTAACAGATGAGATATAAGGTTTTAGATGCATTGCAGAGTATGATTGTTTTGTGTACTGCATCAGGTCAATGGATGCTTATCGTACTATGATAAAGTTCCTGATGGGTTTTATATGATTGATGGTCTGGATCCATATATTTGGACCTTATGCATTGATCTACATGAAATTGGCCGCATCCCTTCAATTGAATCATTGAGAGCTGTTGAATCTGGTGTTGACTCTTCGCTTGAAGCTATCTTAGTCGATCGGCGTAGTGATCCAACCTTCAAGGAACTTCACAATAGAGTCCACGACATATCTTGTAGCTGCATAACTACAAAAGAGGTTGTTGATCAGCTGGCAAAACTTATCTGCAATCGTATGGGGTTTGTACTCACACAATCCTCATAATCTTATATCTTTAAGTAATAGTTTTATATCTTTCTCCAACTTCTCACATTGCTTAGTAATCGTTAATTCTAACCTCCTTCAGAGGTCCAGTTATCATGGGGGAAGATGAGTTGGTTCCCATGTGGAAGGAGTGCATTAATGGTCTAAAAGAATGCTTTAAAGTGGTGGTTCCCATAGGTAGCCTCTCTGTTGGACTCTGCAGACATCGAGCTTTACTCTTCAAAGTGAGATCCCAACTTCGATGCTATTTCCATGACATTTAAAGACGTATATTTTGGAATGATCATATAAATACTCTGCTTCATCGATTTGTTTGCTTGTGAAGAAACTTTTTTTTGAAAAAGAAATATTGAAAAATGTGTTATTGGCTAGAAAATCCATGTTATTTGTAACTGTGTTTTTATTTTATCCATTTTTGTTTGTTTTGTTTTTTGAGTGTTTATCCCTGCATTTGGTGCATGCAGGTGCTGGCTGACATAATTGATTTACCCTGTCGAATTGCAAAGGGGTGCAAATATTGTGATAGAGACGATGCTGCATCGTGCCTTGTCAGGTTTGGGCTTGATAGGTACGGGTTCAAGTGATTGCGATAGTGCATTTTTTTACCTTTTTGCTTATGCTTTTTTGTTTCTGTAAGAACACTCTGGCCCCAAATGTTTCTCATTAGGTTGATAACGTGGATGACTTTGTTTTGTTTTCAGGGAGTATTTGGTAGATTTAGTAGGAAAACCAGGTCACTTGTGGGAGCCCGATTCCTTGTTAAATGGTCCCTCAACTATCTCAATTTCTTCGCCTTTGCGGTTTCCGCGACCCAGGCCAGTTGAACCCGCAGTTGATTTTAGGGCACTAGCCAAACAGTACTTCACCGACTGTCAATCTCTTAATCTTGTTTTCGATCCTGCATCAGGTATTCACATTAAAGAAAACAGGAATAGTATGTTAACTATCTGGATGCTTCTTACGTCTGATTTGTATTTCCCCTAAAAGTGGAATCTCCTTGATTATGTCTTCGATATATGAAGGGCTAACAGTCTTAAAATGATTCTATTGTTTATTTTCTTGTCTCTTTTCATTTGCGAGAGTGCTGTATCATTTCTGATGAATCTATTTGAAAGACTTGTTTTCTGGACTCTGATTTTTTTTATCTACTTGTTTGAATTCTTGTAGATGATATAGGATTCTCAATGTTTCATAGGGGTGGAGAGAATGACGTTTTGGCAGATAATGGAGGTGGGTCTTTGCCTCCCAGTGGTAATATGCCTCCACAGAACATGATGCGTGCGTCAAATCAAGTCCAAGAAGCAGTACCTATAAATGTCCCACCAGTAGGTCAGCCGGTTGTGAACAGGGCAAATAGGGAACTTGGACTTGATGGTGATGATATGGACATCCCATGGTGTGATCTTAATATAAAAGAGAGGATTGGAGCAGGTATTAATTTTTATCCCAAAAAGCTCTGATTTAGTATATGAACGAAAATAAAATGTGATTATTAAGTCTCTGAGAGTCCTGGATTATCTTACTCTGTCCACTTATATTTGGCACTGCTCTTTCAGGTTCCTTTGGCACTGTTCACCGGGCTGAGTGGCATGGCTCGGTAAGAACTTTTTGGTCTGAATTTTGCATTGCTGATTATTTTGGCTCTAAAAGTATGGTTTTGATTTGTGGTATTTGGATCTGTTGGATGATATAAGAGGCAAATTATTTAATCTGTCCGTTTGGACATAAATTATAAATCTTACACTTGGACGAAAAGGTGTTTCCAGATTAGATTTTTTGTCTTTATATCATAAATATATCATCTTGTTTGAATCTTCCAATGCTATCAAGAGAAGACTTCTAATTTTAATTATTGCAAATTATTCTCTACCAATTTCAGGATGTTGCTGTGAAAATTCTCATGGAGCAAGACTTCCATGCGGAGCGTGTCAATGAGTTCTTGAGAGAGGTGCACAACTGAAACTTTTCTCGTGTTTTCTATGAACTTGGTTTATTAATGCTCTTCATGCTCTTTTGATAGGTTGCAATAATGAAACGCCTTCGCCACCCTAACATCGTTCTCTTCATGGGTGCTGTCACTCAACCTCCAAATTTGTCAATAGTGACAGAATATTTGTCAAGGTATAGCTCACCTGAATTTTGAAGGTTTTCTGTGCCTATTCTATTGCTAATACGATGCTCTCTTTCAAACAGAGGTAGTTTGTACAGACTTTTGCATAAAAGTGGAGCAAGGGAGCAATTGGATGAGAGACGCCGCTTAAGTATGGCATATGATGTGGTATGTTTGACCTCCTTTCTTTACCACTCCTAAAATGGGTGCAAATTGAGTTGATTACTTTGTGATCTTGCTGTATTTCTCATCGACCTTGCTTGCCAATTTTTCTGTTGCAGGCTAAAGGAATGAATTATCTTCATAATCGCAATCCCCCGATTGTACATAGAGATTTAAAATCTCCAAACTTGTTGGTGGATAAAAAGTACACTGTCAAGGTTGGAATCTGAATTACAAAAGTTGTTTTCTCCAATATCTTGATTTTGATTTTTCTTTTAGTATGTATCGTCCTTCTTGCTAGATCAGCTTAGAAATTTTAAATTAAATCACTTAGGGAATATTGCAAAATGGCATTAATTTGATGTAACATGTGAAAGCATTAATTCCAAGCTATTGTCTAAAAAAACATCCCTCTTGCAAAACATTAGTTCTTCTAAGTCCTCGATTTGTCTTGAAATTTCAGGTTTGTGATTTTGGTCTCTCGCGGTTAAAGGCCAGCACGTTTCTTTCATCAAAGTCAGCAGCTGGAACCGTAAGTTCAGTTTGTTTGAAGCTTAAAACAAGCTGAACAACTTAACTCTTTTTGGTCCTATTGACGATTTGTTCACTAGAAGATAAATAAATTGATTGGCTTTGATTTATCAGCCGGAGTGGATGGCACCAGAGGTCCTGCGCGATGAGCAATCTAATGAGAAATCAGACGTGTACAGCTTCGGGGTCATCTTGTGGGAGCTTGCTACATTGCAGCAACCATGGGGTAATTTGAATCCGGCTCAGGTACTTTCCACTCCAAAAACATCTCGATATTAATAATAATTATGCATTTTGCTTTTGCATTTGAAAGTCGTTCAATCATAAGTTTTCAGCAACTACGTTTCATAACACGCTATAAAAAACAATTGCTTCATAGGTCGTAGCTGCGGTTGGTTTCAAGAATAAACGGCTTGAGATCCCACGGAATCTGAATCCTCAAGTTGCAGCCATAATCGAGGGTTGTTGGACTAAGTAGGTTACAATTTGTTTTTGTTTTGTTTGATCTGAAACCTCATTGGAATCTCCTTCAAGTTGATGAATATGTTTTGTTTCATTGGCAGTGAGCCGTGGAAGCGTCCATCATTTGCAACTATAATGGACTTGCTAAGACCATTGATCAAATCAGCGGTTCCTCAACCCAACCGTGTGGATTTGTAAAAATCCCGGTCCACTCGAAGCTCAATATAATCATGACATGCACATATACTCTCAGCATTCTTTAGCTGCCCAGGAGGGAGACACTTGTTAAGATAGCTACAGGGAGGTAAAAGAAAAAGTAATTCAAAAGTAGTAATGGAAACAGTAAGGGATAATGGAATATTTATCTACCTACCTCCCATGGGTAAGCAATATTTTGTTGTCGCCTTTTGTAGTAATGCGCTTGAGCTGTTTTGTCTGATCCTACATATAATTTTTTTTTTTTTTAATTACCTTGTTGTACATTTAAACTGTTAAATTAGTAACTAATAGAGTCCCAAAATAAAAAGAGAGACTTGTTTAGCTGCTGTCAGGGGTTTTGCAAATTCAATATGATTCATTGGATATACATGTATATGGTCATGGTGAGATTATCGGCATCTAAACGCAACACATAGAGCAGTGAATATTGCTTGCAGAGAAAAGCAAGCAGAAAACCTCTTAAATTAATCACATAAATATTTTACAAGCGACATACAGTAAGAACTTGGTCGACTTGACATAATAAGTAAGAAGAATATATAGAACTACAATCATAACGCAAAACAGAAGCGCAACAACATTGAAAACAAATAGAAGCACACAGACCATGTATGAGACAAACTGTAAGTCACATTAGATCAAAATCAGTAACCAAAATAAAATAATTAGAACTCGGTCAATTTATTATTATTTTGAAAACCCAAAGAGTAAAGGAGTGCATTTGGAGACCCTGTTTTTTTTTCATACAAAGAAAAATGTGAGGATATTTGATCGTAAGGTTTTAGTTAAGTAGCTTGTTTATGAAAACAGTGAGACGTGAGGAAGGAAAATATCCCAAATTTGTGAACACAAAAGGGACTCAAAATATCTATCAAGTCATTTCTGTTGCCTTGGCTCCAAAGTATTTGACCTCCACTATAATTGTCTTTTGAAAACGACTTTATTTACTCGTTTTTCATAACAATTATATAAACCAAACAAAAACAGAAACTGATTGATGGTCTGGTGACCAATAGGATTGCGTAAATCAAATTGTAGGACTCAATACAATATTTAAATTGAAAAAAAAAAATATCGAGAAGCAAAATCAAAAATTACATTAAGGAGGGTCCACTTGAAAAGCTGACCTGGCAAACACGCAAAATCACTCCTTTCTCTAAATATCTAAGATTACGTAGGACCCACCATCTCAGCACTCTCTCCTTCAGGCAATAAAACAGAGAGAAGCTGCAAAGGAAACAACTTTCAGTGTCGGCGGTGAAATTTCTATCACAAAAAAAGTCCAAAATTACTTAAAGATTTTCATCAGCGAATGAATAATCGATGGAAGATGACGAAAAAGATGAATCCACGGTGGCGAGAATTGACCCACCGCACCGCCTCTCTTTCCCCAGATTTTTTTCAGCATATCTCACTACAGTTTGTCGGTTACATCCTTCCCTAACCTTTATAAACCCTTAAACCTCTCATCCTCCCGTTTAATCCATTTTCTTAACCATTGATTATACACACGATTATCTCTCATCTCCCTAAACTTTATCATTTTCCGTTTTCAAATGAGACCAGAAAAAGATGGTGTTACCAAACCCACTCCAATCTCATTACCCGTTTCGACCCGACCCGAATCCACCATACCCGGGTCTCTCTACGTCGACACAGACATGTGTTCTCCAGTCCCGATCTTGCAGGGGAATCCGATTCCGCCGTTTCTATCGAAGACATACGATTTGGTGGATGACCCGAGACTCGACCCGGTTATATCTTGGGGACTGACCGGAGCGAGTTTCGTGGTTTGGGACCCACTCGAGTTTGCCAGAATCGTACTCCCTAAGAATTTCAAACACAACAATTTCTCCAGCTTCGTCAGACAGCTTAACACTTATGTGGGTATCCCCTGTAATGTGGACTAATCTGTTTCTCTGCTTTTGTTTTCTTGATTAGATATTTAGATAGATTCTTCTTTTGAATGATCATTCTTCTTTTTACCCGTTTTGTTCTTTCTTTCTCTGTTTCTTCTTTCAATTTCTTTGTTTTTTATATTTCTATGTTTCTGTAATCTTTTTGATGAACAAAAACATATTGTATAGATTCTTGAACTGGTTCTTTTATAATTGTAAATATCTGTAATTGTGTTTCTTTTTGGGATTTGTGCAATCTCCACCATGTAACAATGAATTTTGTACCAATAAATTCTGGCTTTTGTTGTATATTTTATCCTATTATCTGCTCATGTAATCTTGTTGAGATGAGATGATCAAATACTCTTGTATAACTATGGTTTCTTGTTAATGGAGAAATCTGGTTTAAGAAACTACTCCTACGTTCTTCGCTCTTAAACGTTAGAATCTTCTGATGATGATTACACAGACCCATTCTGCTGGTGCGATCTTGATGTGATTGTGTTGAGGTATTTAACTTTTTGTTATTCTTTCTTGAGTCGTTTTTTGGGGTTGAAATGTGTTCAGGGATTCCGAAAGATTGATACTGACAAGTGGGAGTTCGCTAACGAGGCATTCCTTAGAGGCAAGAAGCATCTTCTGAAGAACATTCATCGTCGTCGATCACCACAATCCAACCAAACTTGCAGCAGTAGCAGCAGCCAAAGCCAAGGGTCACCTACAGAGGTCGGAGGAGAGATAGAGAAGCTGAGGAAAGAGCGGCGTGCATTGATGGAGGAAATGGTAGAGCTTCAGCAGCACCACAGAGGCACAGCTCGCCACATGGACACTGTGAACCAGAGGCTGAGAGCTGCAGAGCAACGGCAGAAGCAATTGCTTTCTTTCTTGGCCAAGTTGTTTCAGAACCCGGGTTTCTTGGAACGTCTTAAGAATCTCAAAGGAGGAGGAGGAGGAGGAGCTCTTGGATCTGAAAAGGCGAGAAGGAAGTTCATCAAGCATCAAGATTCTCCAACAGGAGGTGAGATTGTGAAGTATGAAGCTGATGACTGGGAAAGATTGTTAATGTCTGACGAAGAGATTGAGAACTTCCCACTCTCGAGACAAGAAGGAACCGATCCGAAAGGCAAGAACTTGATGAATCCATCAGAAGAAGAAGAGATGATGATTCCAGATAACTTAGTCTCATTCTCATCTCCTGCAGAAGTAGATGCTATTATCAAACAAGAAGAGACATGGAGTATGGGTTTCGATGCTACTACGCTGGATGTATGGGGAAACACAGTGGACTATACTGTCTCAGAGTTTGGTTCTGTTGCAGAAACAGCAACTGGTGGTTTGCCTGATGTATGTTGGGAACAGTTTGCTGCAGATTTCAGTTGGCCAACTGGTGATGATAATATGCCAACAGATGATCCTTAAAGAGCTTCCATATAGTTTAAACCAAAAATTGAACTATTAATTGATTATTTCATTTTGAATGCACATTTATACATATATATATAGATAATTAATGAGTTTGATTGTGCCCTTCTTATTCAGAATTTGTGTCTCTTAACTTTAATTTTAGCGGATAACAACACAGTACTATCCTTTTGTTCTGTGTTTTTGGGGGTTCTAACTTCTAACTACATAGGTTTTATCTGCTGGAGTAATCGAATGTTGCAGGTCTGTAGTGGAACCTTGCTTCTCTGAGGAATGGTTTTATTGATACTTATCACCATATCATCCATGGAAAATAAATCTTCATGATCCAGCCTCCAGGTATGTTTTATGTCTTGGTAGTTGGTACCATCCCATTATAATTTATACAAGTGACAGACCGGAAAACATAGTTTCTTAGCTTCAGACTCTGTTTTACATCTATATTTTTTCCCGCCAAGTCATTTTTTCTTTTTGCGTTATTTGTAAACAAATTTCTTTTTTTCGTTTGTACTAAACAAAAACGTTTTATAAAATCAGAAAATGTTCTAAACATTTTTATCAAATGTGATTAAAATAAAATTATCTCACATATTCGCATACAACCAAGATCACAGTACAACTCTTTAGAGTTTAAATGACATTCTTTGTTTTACATTTATATTTTGTTGCAACAATACGATTCTTTTGTTTATTTTTTCTTTTACCTCTAGTTTTATAACAAACACTTTAGAGTTAGTTTTGAATTACTCATACTAATTGGTACATTTTAAATTTCAATAGTAATACTAATGATGATAAATGAATAAATAAAGGTGGGGATACTTAAGGCTTGTTGTGGCTTTGAGTGTAGATGTAGTCCAAGTGAGATTCAGTGATCATCCTTCTCTTCATACACTCTTCATCGGTCTCCTCACACTTCTCTTCTCCCATCAGCTTATATATATAAACCACAATTCAGGACCAAAAAAAAAAACAAATTTTATTGAATAAAAACATAAGATGGGTAAAAGTGGTTTACATGCGATAACTCTTGGGCAACCTCGGATGCCTTATCTGCTTGTGTAGCCCAAGCCCAATTATTATTCGTGTTTCCTTTATGTGAAAATTGGTGAGAGAGATCAACAACAAGAGCATCAAAATCGAAAGAACTCTTAAATTCAAAGCCATCCAAGTGCGATTATTGGCTAGATTTTTATCGAGTATGATCCAAGTTCGACGATTCACATTAAGATCTTTGAAAGTGTCAAGCTCTAAATTTCTGAATGATCTGTCATAGATTTATATTTATAAAGCAAATTTTGATCCCCGCTTAAAAAGAACAATAACTCTCATTGTTTCGGAAACAATATTTTCTTTTTGTGGTTTAACTTAACAATATTTTCCAAACGACCGCACTACAAATCTAAGTATATAGTATACATACACCAAAAGTCCTAATTAAGCCTGTGAATTCGTCAATTCGTATACGCATATACATTCAACATAGATATATGAAATATCATAGACATGCATGATGATGCATGGGTGTATATATATGGCATAGAGTACCTTCTTTATCCACTTGCAAAGGACGTTGAGCTGTACGAATCCCAGATAACTGAAGAAGAAGAAGAGCAAAAAGGAAGAACATAATCCCAAGTTTCTTCTCCATTTTTTATTAGATTATTTTTTCCAGAGAGGAAGAAGAAGAAGAACAGTCAAAGTTTAAATATACGTGTAGATCTCTCACATGCTCGTTACATTTACGTTTATGCCCATCTCTAGTGTGTTGTGGAGTGGATCCCATCTTATAAAAACCCTTACATCTAGAGAGAAATGAGTCAGTAACTTCATATGTGAACCCAAAAAAAAAGAGTGAGTAACTCATCAACCCGACAAAACAACTAGACGACAACCTCTTGTTACAGAGAGTTTGTATCAACATTACATTTGGTATATTCAAAGAGAACTCATATTCAAATCTAGTTTTGCGTTTTCTCAGAAAAGAATTTCAATCAAATTCGATCTTTTAAACGAAACATCTAGACATCAACTATTTACAATTATTTACTTACAAAATCTAGTTATGAGTTCTCCTCTTCCAAAGAAAAAATTGTTTTTGAAATAGACTAATTAGTAAGGTAATTACTCATTATGTTCTTTACTAGTGCTACTTTTAACATGTAATTGTTTTCTAGTTGGCACAACTCATTTGGCGATATCCCACCCACGAGAAAAAAAAGATTCTTCCTCGTTGATTGTGTAATGTAATGCCAAAAGCAAAACGTACGCACTCTCTTTTGACGTTACACAAAATTACTATACTATTATTCATGTCTCTAAGTCTCCTCTTCCTTTAATTTGTTTCCCATTGTTTTGTTTTTGGTTATGTAAATGTAAACTTTTTCAAGACTAGCTTCACATATAACCTTTATAAACTGTGAGTCTTTATACTTTCTCCGTATACAGTTCGGATTTTAATTGGTTTTCTGTACTTTAATCACCAATATATACTCCCGCACTGAATCACTGATATTTGAAAAAAATAACCTAAAAGTTATGTAAAATAATGCAAAAAGGAATCTTGAACCGCGAAAGTTAATGATATGAGTCTCAGTTAAAGCTTACAATAGCGTCACATCATTTAGGAATGTGGATCTATCTTTGACAAAACCAATTTTGTGTGGCAAAGAATATAGAATAGATCACGAGCCAAATTTGATTACTTGACGGGAGTCATTATCGTATTCTATTTTGCAGTAAGCAGACAAATCGAGATTCTAATAAAAACTTTTAGGTTTACGTATCGTTTTTGTCTTAGATAAGAATTGTGCTGTGTCCATTCATTACATCAATTGCGATGAAAAAAACAGACAATAAAAAAGACCCTCACGACTTTAACTTTGATTTTGGTGGTAGTCCTTGTCATTAATGCTTTAATGATTTGATTGCAATTTTTGTAAATTCTGCCTAATCTGGTTTTTGAAAGCATTTATATTGGTTCGTTGTGGCTGATTTTTGTTTTTTTTTTATAAATGTAATAACATGAACAATTCTATAATTTAAGTGGAACTAAATTAATTAGATTTTAACGTTGACGAAGATTATACTCTTAATGTGCTTTAAAATTGTAATTTTGTTCTTTTTTAATCAGTCTTCTGAGCTCTCTGTTGTTTTATGTAAAGTTCTTTTTCTGTTATATATATATGTATATTAGGGAACCATAATAGCAAAATGTTGATATGGCCGAGTTGGTCTAAGGCGCCAGATTAAGGTTCTGGTCCGAAAGGGCGTGGGTTCAAATCCCACTGTCAACATCTCTTTTTCTATTTTTTTTTCATCATCATATCTTCTGGGCGATTAATTGAGAGTAGTAATCCAGGTAAGTGAGAGAGCTACGTCACAACATCCTAGCGGCTATGACTGTGATCAATGGCTACGGGTGGGAAGGATATACAATCATAATCAACGGAAAAGTTGGGGGTAAATAACATTAGAACATGTTTTTTTTTTTTATAAAATTTTTGCTTGATTTAGAGATTAAAAGTCGCTGGGTTTTGGAACGTGATTAGATAGAGAGAGAGAGACACGAGGTTGAATAGCTTATATAGTCGCGATTCGTGACAGTCACTACAAGAAAGATCGGCTTTTACGTCGGCAGATATCGACGTAAATTCGACGTAAAAGAACATTTACGTCGAATTAACGACGAATTACAATTCGTCGTAAAACGATCGTCGTAAAACCCAAATCGTCGTAAAATCGTCGTAAAATTACCAACTCCGGAAAATCGTCGTAAAATCGTCGGAAACAATTCGTCGTAAATGCGACGTAAAATTTCCAACGGATGTACAACGAAATAACTCCATCATAAGAACGACGTAAAATCGATGTAAAATTACATCGATTTAACAACGATTAGGAGACGAAGAATTTCAATTAAGGGAAAAATAAATTTTTAATTATCGATGTTAAATCGTCGTAAATTTTCGACGTAAATCCGACGTAAAGATATTCGTCGTAAATTCGTCGTTAAATTTTTCGACGTTAGATCGACGTAAATTTACGACGAATTTACGTCGATTAATTCGATTTAATTCGATTTTAATAAATTAATTATTTAATTCGATTTAAATTTAATTAATGAATTTTTTAAATAATAAAAAAATTAAAAATAGAAAAAATTTGAAATTTAAATTCAAAAATAATTTATAAATAAAAAAAAATTACTACAAATTGTTTTTTACAAAAAACCTAATCTATACAAAGTCGTAATCGTCGAGGTTGAGATCGACGTCACGAGGAAGCTCTCCGTCTTGGCCGCCCGTCGCTGCTGGACCGACGTTTTCCGTCTGCACTACCGGAGCCGAAGACTGACCGCCCGTCACTGCTGGGACCGGAGCCGAAGTCTGACCGCCCTGCGTCTGCGGGTCCGAGGGTCCAGTACCCGAAGTAGCTCCGGTCTCAAAAACCCTCCGTGCTCGTTGTTGCCTCGCTCGGATTGCGGTGGCCAACTGCGGAACCGCTTCCGCAATGATGTCGAAGAGATCAAGGATCTCGGTGAGCTCCTGCTTCTGGGCCACTTGCTCATGCCTGAGAGTGGTGATCTCAGCATTGGCCGTAGCAAGCTCCTGGCGAAGCTGCGGATCCTGCGGGCGGTGGAATCCGGAAGCCGTGGCGGCAGGACAGTCTCTAATAGAGCCCATCCCTAATGTTTGGCCCTTCTTCTTCGGAGCGACCTACAAATGGAAAATAAAAACGTTAATTATTTATGAAGTAATTATAAATATAATAAATTTTTAAAAAATTGAAATAGATCATACCTCTTCGAAAATCTGGTCTTGCTCAGCGACGGTCAACGGTACGTGGATAGTACCGTCAAGTGTGGCCTGGGTCTCCCGCTCGGCGATCCGCTGCATAGCGGCATTGTAGATCTCCTCGGACCGAGCGTCGACAAAGCTCCCGTCCTTCTTCCGGTGAGTGGTCTCGAAGAGCTTCGTCATTGGAGGTAGTTCTCCTCCGTTCTCCTCGGCCTACCAATTAATAAACATTATTAGTCAAAAATATTTAATAAATTATAGTAATAAATAAAATTAAAATAATAATGAAATAAATTATATTTAATTACTTACCATCATGAGACGTCTTCCCGCAAAAGATACTTGGCCAGAAGTGTGCGGGGTCACTAACTTCTCACCAGTCACCGGATCGACCCGGTTTCGGACGGCCGAACACTTAGCAGCGGTGGCTTGGGCATGCGGGTCCACCCAATACGCCTTCAACCCGTTCCAACACCAAGTGGACATGGAGCTCGGCTTTGCGTCGTCGCCGTCGGTCTCCCATTTCCGCTTCCAATCGGAAACGGTGTTGACTAGGCGTTTCTTCGCCTTTTCCACGAAAGCATCGCGGACCGTCTCGTTGATCCCGATGTCCCAATTCCACCGTTGCTGCAAAAGAAAACAAAAAATTAGATAAACAATATAAAAGTAAGATTAATTAAATTTAAAACAATTTAAAATGATATAAATAATATTTAAAAATATTACCGCGAAGCACTTGTACCAGGTGTCGCACGTCTCTTGCGACACCTTGCTCCAATTGTAGTGCGGCTCCACGAAATGACTCTTAATGCAGTCGGAAACGCTCCGACCGACACAATTATCCAAAGTAAACCTATGAAACAAAAAAAAAATTATTACATTAATATTTAAGTAAATTAAAGCGTTAATTTAAAAACTATAAAAAACAAAAAAGTTTACTTACCAAAATGAGCCTGGTTCCGCTTTTCCGGGAACCAGACGTCGTAAAGCCCCCCGTCCCGGTAAGGCTAGTAAATCCTCAACCGTAAACTGGGCATACGGATGAGGAGGGACGGGTACCGGTTCGGCAGCCGGGGCGGGTACCGGTTCGGGAGCCGGTGGAGGAGGCGGTGGTGGAGGCGGTGGTGGAGGCGGTGGTGGAGACGGCTCCGCGGTATTCGAAACCTGAGAGGCTCCGGAAGATGAGGAAGGGACATCGGTCTCGGTGTTTCCCGAGGCAGACGCCCGGGAAGAATGTCCGTCCGCCATGAAATTGATGTAATGCGTCTTCCGTCGAGGCATCGTCTGCAAAACGGAAAAAAATTATTTTTCAAATTAATTACAATGTCGATCCTAAATCTAACAAATTCCGATCCTTAATCTAACAAATTCTGATCCTAAATCTAACAAATTCCGAGCCTAAACTAATTCCCGACCTAAACCGTTTGAATTTCTAAACTATTTAAAATTATTATAATTTGAAATAATTAAAAAAAATTATTTACCTTTTTTTCTGCGTCGAAAGGAGGAGGTGGGAAGGAGGAAGCAGAGACAACGAGAGAGGAAGGAGAGATGAGCGACGAAATGAGGAAGGGGTGAGGTCCTATATATAGAATTTATATTCGTCGTAAATTCGACGTAAATGTTACGTCGAATTTACGACGAATTCGTCGTAAATTCGTCGCAAAGTTCCCACCGTACACAAAGCGAATAAGACAAACACACGTGGGTGTATCTGGACTTTGCGACGAATTTACGACGATCCGTGTTATTCGTCGTAAATTCGTCGTAACATTACGACCAATTTACGACGAATCGTATAAATCATTAAAATTAAAATGGCTGTGTATACACATATCGTCGTAAATTCGTCGTAATATTACGACGAATTAACGACAAACTATACAAAACTGATGAAATTCAAAAATTGAAACATCCATAAGGACATACAAGCATGTCTATTCATGATAAATGTGGTGTGTATAACTTTCTAA